TATGATGATGTCACTTGAATAGATATGTGGACCGAAGAAGTGGGCTGTAGTCCACGAAAGCTTATGCTCTAATAAATTTGTTAGTCTCTAAGGTGCCACAAGTACTTCTGTTCTTCTTTTTGCGGATACAGACTAACACGGCTGCTACTCTGAAACAAGGAAGCTTGGAGACTTACTTAAAAGACAAGGTTTTGCAACTCCTTACAGCTCAGTCACTGCTTACGTGCTCTCTAATGAGGGTTGTTTTGAAATCTTGTACATTACTAACTTTATTTGTAAAGGTGGTGGTGGCAGGGAGAGGGAAGATGGTTGTATACCAAAACAATAAACCCTTAAGTACTAACATTCTTTTCTTGGCAAGAGTGTTTTGACTGGCTTTTCTGAACACTGAAGTGTCACTAACAAATTACCATGCATCACTGCATAGGCAGGCTGGCTTATTCATTGCAGTGCTTGGACTAAAATTTCTCAAAACTCTTATCCTTTTGGATAAACCAAACTGGAATCTTAATCACTCACTGTACTGTAACCTTGGATCCAAATGCAGATCAGTGTTATCTCCTTAATCTGGTGTAATCTCTCTATGTAGAAAGAATTTGTAGTGGTAACAAGTACAATTTACTTGTTCCAAAGTTCCTTTGATAAGCTTCACAAAACTTGGTCTTTGGTACTGTTCTTGCCATAGAAAGTGTATAAATCAGTTCTGGCTTGTCAGTAATGATAGGATATGATTCAGACAGGTTTTTCCTGGCAGTTTGAGTACAGTCCTCTGAATACAAAGATAATAATTTGAAAACAATGGCAAACTGTAGTCCAATATCACTAAAGCTGATCTCCCTGTCAGCAACTAGGGAGCTTGCAAGCTGAACCAGTTCCCATGTTAGGTTTGTGTTGTGTAGTTTTTTTAACAGTGCATCTCAAAATGCCTTTGAGAATAACGTAGTCAAAAAAATCCTCAGGGTTTTGTGGAAAGGAAACGTAAGGTGACCTATGCTATTAAAACAGGGCTTGTTCTCTTTTTACCTGGAATGCCTCACTTTTTATATTGGGCAAGACCTGCATTTCTAACCTCTCTTCTGAAGGCTGTGGCCAGCTGGTGAGCTAGTAAAAGTATAATATGGCAGATATCAAAGTGAAAAAGGAAAGTGAGATTTGTTAGACTTTTAAACACCTGTAGTACTGACAACCGATAGTCAGAAGGGAAAATAAATTTGCCATCCAGGCTCTTCAGTAAAGTCCAGAAACTCAAAACACAATTTAAAAAAGGCACAAACACTCATCCTTTGCAGGTCATCTTAGGTCATAATTGTTGATAAAACAGACCATAATGACTACTTACAGCCACTATCTCACTAACTAGTTCAGGGAATTCTGTCTTGAAGTACTAAATAACTTCAGTGTTAAAACCTTAGTTAAATGAGTTATTGACATAACCTCTTAAGCTTTGACAAGCTGCTTAGCTCATGCATAAAGTCCAAGGTGCTCAAACTTTCTAAACTTGTTCTTACTTTCTAGCTGCTTTAAGTAAAATGCAAATTCTGCAGAGCTAAATTTGCCTACATCAGACAACATCTCTTCCTTATGTAGCAGGACTGGATAAAACTCCAGAACTCTTTGCAATTTTAATTTCAAAATCCAGCAGTTGTATCCTGTTTCTAATTCTAGTATTAAAAATCACGTAACTTTCTTCATGTCTCTAGCAAAAAGCCTGGAAGAACTTACTCTGTTTACAATCACACAATGTTTGAATGAATGAATTTGTGAACTATACAATAAAATGAAGTATCAGTGTCTTGTAATCAAACAATTACTATATATATTGCAGGTTTTTTCCAGTCACATGCAGTGGAAGTAGATGTGAAAGATCTCTCCAATAATACGTGCATATATGCAAAATGGATGATGAGCTTCTTGATAAAATATGAAACAAACAGTAGTGAATATGTAAGTACTGAATTTAGTGTTAACTTCTGCTGTTGGATGTACTATCCATTTCACTTCTCTGTTAAGTCTTGAGAAACTTCAAAACAATTACCCTTGTAGCTAGTTCTGGTAAGGTTGAAGAAAAAGTCAAGCTTACCTCTTTTAAATAGCTGATCTCAACATTTTTTTTAAAGGGGCAGTCAGGGTTTCTTTAAATAACTTATGTAATATGTTACTGAGTTGGCATATTACATTTTATTCAGCTTGGACAAGAGGTTAGTTTGACTTTCTTGCTCTGTCTTAGCATGGTACTCTGAGTTAACACTGGGTAATATTAAAACTTAAGATGTTTTTCTTTGAAATAACTCCTTAAACTCTAGTGAATCATGTTTAACACTAAAACAAGGGCTTTAACCTACTTGTTTGGGGGCAGTTAGGAAACTTTTGAATCTCCCTATATTCTAATCTTCCACTCTGCAACAATAAGAACTAGAAGTTTTTAAAAACATCACTTTTCAAGTGTAAATTAACTGTCTTCCTGAGTCTGTCGATTAAGCAATAGTTGCACTGGATCACACTTTTCCAGCAGAACAAAACTGATGTAATTCTTTAAGTCTTCACTGCTGTTATTCTGAGCATGTGGACAAGAGTGAACATAAGGTACAAGTTTCCTTCTTCAGGAGCTTGGGAGAAGGCCTGGAGCAGGCTGATCCAGAAGATAGGCAGGAGGAATGGTAGAGTAGCAAAGATGTTACAGCCATCATACTAGCCAGGAGGCTCTGGTGCGGGAACAAAGAATGAATGATCACTTCTCATTCCAGTTAGGTGGGTAGTGATCATAATTCATTACAATGTCTGGGCACACATGAAGCCAGAAGCTATCATTCTGCTCAGGAACAGCATGCTTTTTCCAACAGGTTTTGAAGGAGGATTGGCTTTTCACTTGGAAGTGGCCCCTGGACACTTAGGAGGGGATGGGGCTGGCTTCATCTTAGTTTAGTTACAGTGACTTTATCTGGAACACTTCTCAAACCCCATATGAGGGGAATAAGTGAGAGTGAGAAGAGAATGTCAACTTTATATTTAAAAAAAAAAGGCAGTGAGTTTGGGGAAGACAAAGTATATAGTAAAGGAAATGGAAGAGGAGAGAAGAAATAGCCACTGAATGTTTCAGGGAGAGATGCCATGATCTATTAGTGGAGTGAAATCCAAAAGGGTAAAAAGTATAAAACAAAGCCACTTTCTGTCTCGTACATTTTTTTTAAAGATTTTTCTCCAGCTAGTGGATTAAGTATCAGGGTAATAATTTATTTCCAAGCCCTTACTAAAACTGAATGACACTGCTCAGTCATGCTTAGGGCCTTACCAAATTCACAGTCCATTTTGGTCAATTCCAGTCATAAGAATTTAAAAATTGTAAATTTCATGATTTCAGCTATTTAATTCTGAAATTTCAGTGTTGTAACTGTAGGGGTCCTGACCCGAAAAGGAGGGAGAGGGGTGTGTGTGTGTGTGTGGGGGGGCAGGTTTGCAAGGTTATTGTAGGGGGAGTTGCAGTACTGCTACCCTTACTTCTGCACTGCTGCTTGCACTGCCTTCAGAGTTGGGTAGCTGGAGAGTGGTAGCTATTGTCTGAGAGCCAAGCTCTGAAGGCAGAGCCGCCACTAGCAGCAGCACAGAAGTAAGGATGGCATGGTATGGTATTGCACCCTTAATTCTGCACTGCTGCCTGGAGAGCTGGCAACCTCAGTCAGCATACACTGCTCTCCGGCCACCCAGCTCTGAAGGCAGTGCAGAAGTAAATGGCAATACCACAGACCTCCCAAAAATCTTGTGGACACCCCCCCCCGCAACTTCCTTTTGGGTCAGGACCCCACATTTGAGAAATGCTAGTCTTCTCTGTAGTATCTGTATAGGGTAAAAGTACATAAGACCAAATTTCAGTCTGTGGCATGTTTTTCATGGCTGTGAATTTGGTAGGGCCCTAGTCATGCTTCATGGCTCTACTCAAGCCTGTAGCAGGTTCTCACTCTGTAAAGTACTGTCTAAATGTTAGGGTGTAGTGTGCGTGTCCCCCCCCTTGTCCCCCAGGCAGGTTAAGACATTTGTCTAGATCTTTCAACTCCTGTTGTCTCATGACTGAATCCATCACAGCACTTTTCGAATTCAGATGGTGGTAAACTCTAGAACAGTGTGTATAATGGAGTAACTTTCTTAACCCTTCTAAGAGTTCAGTTCTCTGTTCCTATTTCTTTGTTTATATTAGGAATTGTTATATTGAAGCTTCCACTTCAAGATTATGAAACTTTTCAGGGAATACTCCAGCATGAGGAGAATGTCTGTCTGAATTAAACTACTTTTTTCTTCTAGAAAAATGCAACCTTAAAGCCATCTACCAATGTAACGCATGACGGAAGCATCTGTGGCAATAACACACATGCCCCATTACTAGCAATACAGTTTGGAGCAGGTCACTCTTGGAGTATCAACTTTACTAAGACTAATGAAACTTATCAGGGAAACATCATCTCGTTTACCTACAACACCAATGATGCAGCCTTTAAAGATGCTAAAACAAAAGGTAATACGGGGGATTTTATCTTGTGTGGCTGAGCAATGACATTACAGATAAATGATAATGATTATTGCAATATACCATCCCTCTAATTGTTTTTTATAGCTACTCATTCCTCTGCCCCATCCCTTTCTTACAAGTGTTGCAGACCAGTAAGAGTGTCCTATGTGTATTTTATGAATGTACTGTAGATTCTAGTTAATGTTTGCAATAATCTACTAGACTCTCTCCCTCAATATGGATGGAGAAAGGGTTTTTGTTGTTGCTGACTTTCATGTGCATTGGCCAGTCTCCAAGAACACTAGTGTTATGATACAAATTGTTACAATGTACAACACTTTACTAAATAGGAGTGTGCATCTTGGACAGCTAGTTGCAAAACACTAACTTTGGACCCCTTTCCTGTACCTTAAGAATTTTAAAAGGAAGCATCCTGCTGGGAGGAGCGGTTTCTTTTCTGAGATGTGCTTAGTTAGCTTTGTAAGCTATAGTACCACTCTACAATACTTAATGGCTATGTGAAGGGGCGAGGGGGAAAAAATGTGTAGCCGCGTGTTAAACTGACTAAACTTACAGGAATCCTGCTCCTTGTATTGATTGTAAACTTCCTTTTTTTTCTTGTCTAAAACACATGAAGAGTAATCTGTATTCTTGCTTATAGGACCAATTACTATTGTTGTAAATGACACTATGCATCCAGTCCAACTGAATACTGTCTACAAATGCCATCACCTTGACTCTATTGAAGTGGCAAATGTGTCTCTGTTCTTCTGGAATGTCATTCTGCAGGCTTTTGTTCAAAATGGCACTGTTAGTAAACATGGTAAGTCACTTAAAATTGTGTGTGATGGTTCTGTATCCAAACTTCCATTTTAGGAGTGCAGTACAGAGTGACTTTAATGTTGTAAAGTAGTGAATCACTGCAATTTTTATAGGGAATTGCTGCTTATCTTGCCTAAACTCTTGAGAACCAACATGAGTATAAATATCCACTATCCTTGTTCATATCCAGAACCAACCGCTGATCTGAAACTAGATCAGTGGAGCAGACTGACTTGGCAGTCTGTATAATACATTGGTCAAAATGCAGTTCCTAATGAGTATTTTGCTAGCTGACATGGGATTTTTAAATACTCTGATCCCTGAACTAATTGTACCACTACAACTAGATCATATCTGAGTCTCAAGGTACCTCTGTAAACAGAAGTCTTACTGCCTCTTAGTCCAGGACTCAAACATTTTGAGCCTCAGGTGTCCAGGTCAACAGTGACTAGCAGGTAGTCTTACTAAAGAGCACACAAAGCAAGTATACTGCACGTGAGGCTTGTTAGGATTCTTTGGTTTAGAGCCACTAGCCTGGCCAGAACTTCCTCTGCCCATGGTCTTCACCTGCTATGCTGCTCCTAACTTTGCCAGTGCAGAATGAAACTAGCTTACCTCTTCTGTTACTGTTAATGGAAAGACAGTTCTGTTTGCAATATTGCACTGTTACTGCATGCCTTGATGCTAAAATCAAAGATTTGACTAAAAAACTCTGTAGGGGGCTTAAAAGGCCAAAATACTCCCTCCACAAAAAACATGACAGCAGAGTCATCTGTAACAAACAACCTCTGACAACTGCGTAATGTTATCAAAAATGTATCTTCATCCTAGCTAGGAAGTCACACACTACTTTTTTCAGATTCTACATGTGAAGCTGATAAATCTACTGTGGCACCTACCACTATTGCCAACTTAACTACCACTGTTGCCAACTTAACTACTGCACCTATCACTACTGCTTCATCACCTCTGCCAACTACAACTTCTAAACCAGTGGAGAAACCACTCATTGGAAACTATTCTCTCAAAGATGGCGATAAAACCTGTCTTCTGGCTACAATGGGGCTGCAACTGAATGTCTCCCAAGAGGTGCTGTTTTTAATATCTTACAAGCAAAGAGGAAGAGTGCGGCAATATTTTCTTGTTTGCAGAAGTATGGATACATGACTAGAGCCTTACCGCTTAACCAATATTTGGCATTACCTTTAGTGTTATAAATGTCCCCTGTAGTATACATGTATCAGACCAATCAAGGGATACTGTCTAGCTCCAGAACTCTGCCTGCCTACCTACCTTTTAAAATGGTAACTTGCTGAGGAATATTTTGATATTGTAACCCGAGCAGGGCATTTCAATAGCTTTTAAGGCTGGAACCTGCAGATGCTCTGCTTGGTTGCAGAGGGAGCCCAAATTAAGGCATCTGATTGCCAGAGCTGTGCTATTATCTGATGCACAAAATAAAGGAGGGATCTGTCTTCAACTCCATAAAAGAGCTGAATGGGAGTGTCAGTGGGCAAGATTCCCCCCCCAATCTTGTCCAGTACTGTTAAGGTTAAGTGTCACTTAAATAGCTTGGCTGAACATGATTCAGTCTACCCTAGCATGAAGACTCGCCTTGTTTTATGATATGGTCTTGTCGAGAGTAAGACTAAACATTGAGTGGAAAATGGGGAGTTCCCTTCTGACAGCAGCAGAATGCCTTTTTTGAACAGCTAGAAGCCTCTTGACTAATCAATGTTTGGTTTTAATTTCAGCCTGTTTTGATTAACATCAATCCGAAGACAACTAATGTCACTGGTAGCTGTGGCAACACATCTGCTATTCTGCGATTGAGTGACAGCAACAGGACGTTTATTGATTTCACCTTTGCTGTTGTAAGTAACATATTACAGTTAAGCACTAAGCTTCCAATTAAATCTTCATTTCTTGTGTCTAAACACTTTGCACATAATGCCTGTATCTTAAAAGCTTCTTGCATACTTGATTGTCTCTAACAGAGTTATATAGGTGGCTGGTATCTTACTCTACAGGTGAAGCAACTGAGTCTCTTAATTGACTGCCCAAGGTTACCTATTGGCAAAATGAGGATTGTGCTCTAGGAGTGTCTGGTTCCAGTAACATGCTCCGTACTCTAAATATGCTCTCTATTAAATGGACCGCACTAGTGTGTAGCTTTGTCAGTAAATGCTCTTTCACACTTGTAGTTTAAAAGCGCACACTGCAGAGGCAATCTTCTAAATATATATGTACTTGTGTGTATGGGATAAACCCTTCAATTTTAACACAAATGGGCTTTTTTTCTCTCATAAACAGAAAAACACAAGTGCAAACACACAAAGATTCTATCTGAAAGAAGTGAACATCACCGTGATCCGCTCTATAAATGGTTCTGGTAAGATACTATTTGGCTTAAAGGAAGCACTTCAGTTTTGACTGCATTCTGTCTATATTTAGCACATTCTTGTCAACTAATTTTTTTTAACCAATACTAGTTCATACTCCATGGTCAAATCTACAGTGACTAGCTACAGTAACAAATTGTTCTATTTGCTTTAGAGATTGCCCTAACTTGCTATTTTCCTTATCCCATTTTGGCCTTGTTACAACTGTGTAGCACGTATCCTTGCCTACCTCTGAAGTTTCCTGGAGTGCAGTAAAGTTCTTAAATCCTTCCTTGGGAAAGGAGATACACAGCCACATTGCTGACAGTCTTTAGTATGAGAACCCTAAGTGAGCAGTTCACATTAATAGGCACAGCAATATTCTTTGCAAAGAGGTGCAACCTATAAGGCTTAAGCATATTCTTCCAGATCAGCAGTTCTCAAGCTCTGGAGTAGGAGGTACAGGAATTTGTCAAGGGAGCACAAACTGTGCCCTCCCCTCCCCCCAACTCTGGCTGTCAGCCCCTGGCAGCAGGGGCTCATGCAGGAGGACTGTGCACACCCAGGAGGCAGGGTAGGGGATAAAGGGGACTGCAGGGGAGGGATGGACGGACTGCCTGACTCCCGTGGGCAGGAGGGGACAGACAGATGGACCACTGAGTGGGCTCCACCAGTAGCGGCACAGAAGTAAGGGTGGCAATGAGGCATGAAGTCTGCTGTGAAAAGTGAATATCACTTTCCACAGCAGACTTAGTGCCTCATTGCCACCCTTACTTCTGTGCTGCTACTGGTGCAGCATTGCCTTCAGAGCTGGGTGCCTGGTATATGTACCTGGGGTCCAGCCATAGACTACAGACACAAAAGGGGTCTGTGATGAAATAAGTTTGAGAGCCACTGTTCTAGACATTTGTCTAAGGTAACTATTCTTCTGTATGGAAGGAAAACTTATCTTTCCTTCCACGTTCTTGATAACTGAGAATTCATTTTGTAGCATTTCAGAAACCAAAGTGTGTGTGGGCGGGGGGTTCTTAAATGTGGTGGGTTTTGTTTTTTAAGTGGATCATGCTGGCCTACTAATATGTTGGCAATAATCTCTATAATAAGAGGCCTAAGACAAAGTTTAGACATGTAAACAGTTTATACTGTTGCAGTGATGAACTGCAGGGGCATGTATGAGTAGACTAGTGACTTAAATCTTCTGAAACTGTATCAGCTTTAATTATCCACCCCTCTTCTGTACTGAACCGGACTTCCTGTAGTCCACAGACTTGTTACTCTCCTTTAAAGTGTTACATAACCACATTTCGGAGGAAATAATGCTGAACAATGGACTCAGTACCTTTCAGCTGAATAGGCTTATGATCTTGGTAGTACACCCTTTGAACAAGGCACTCTTGATAAATAGACTTTTTAGTCCATAGAAAACTCATCAACAAATGTCCATATTAGAATTTTTTTTTAAAGAACCTTTCAATGCTGGAAACAACAACCTCAGCATCTGGGACACCTTCCTGGGCAGTTCCTACATGTGCCAAAAAGAGCAGACTGTTTTGGTGACTGAAGATCTTCAAATACATACTTTTGATCTGAGGATTCAGCCATTCAAAGTACAAGACAACAAGTATGCTAAAGGTAAGAATAAACCCAAATCAAGCAGACTTGTAGGGTGCTCTAACAAGGTTCACAACATAGGAGTAGATAAAAGCTTTCTAGATACTAGCATAACTAATCCATTGGCCAGTACTTTATTTTTGCTTAGGCTAAAATGACTCTCTAAAATTTCCATTTGGGAAATGGCACCAGCCTTCTATCCTGGTTGATATGAACACCTTGCTTTTATCAGTGTTTTTGTCATAGAGAAACCTCCCTTTTAAAATAAATAAATCACACCACAAACTGGCAACAGCCCCATAGGCTTATACAAAAGGGCCTAAAGACATTGACTTTATGGCAATCTCCCCCTACAGCCATAGAGAACCACTGTTGACTTACTGAAATCTGCAAATGCTGTAGTGAGGGAGACTGACCAGAGTGCTGCAAGAAATAATAGGATGAAGCTTGGAAAAAGCATTTCTGCTGAATGTAATCCAAGCTCTTTCTCATCAGACTGGAGGGGGGGAAAAGGATTATTCAAGTGATGGGGTCCAAAAAACTGGAAAAAGTTCTTACTTCAAAGTACAACCTTGCATTGGCCAGGGGTATGGGAAGACCTAATCTGTCTCATCACAAATTCTGAAGAGATGCAGTATAAACAGTTCTAGTTCTCACTGTGGAAGGCCAAATGGGCTTCTGCATAATTCTGTAAATAGTACTTGAAAACTAGGTATATGTTACAGTAGTGCTTGCACCCCACTTTTGGGTTTAGATCAGTTTGTAGACTGATAAAATATGTAAGTTAAGATGGGAGGTGGAAGTGTACCTTAAAAAAAAAATCCAATTTTAAAAGTATACTGAAAGACTTATCATAGTAATATAGATATTGGAATTGGAAAAGGTTCTGGAAAGAGCAACAAAAATGACTAGGGGTATGGAACAGCTTCTGTATGAGGAGATTAATAAGACTGTGGGGCTGGGGGGGGATATGATGGAGGTCTATAAAATCATGACTGGTATGGAGAAAGCAAATAAGTGGTGTTTACTTCTCATAACACAAGAACTAGGGGTCACCAAATGAAATTAATATGCAGCAGGTTTAAAACAAACACAAGGAGGTATTTCTTCACACAGTGCAGTCAACCTGTTGAACTCTTTAACAGAGGGTGTTGTGAAGGCCAAGACCATAACCGGGTTAAAAAAATAACTAGATAAATTCATGGAGGATAGGTCCGTCAATGGCTATTAGCCAGGATGGGCAGGGATGGTGTCCCTAGCCTCTGTTTGCCAGAAGCTGGGAATGGGCAACAGGGGCTGGGTCACTCTATTATCTGTTGTGTTCATTCCCTCTGGGGCACCTGGCATTGGCCACTGTTGGAAGACAGGACACTGGGCTAGGTGGACTTTTGGTCTGACCTAGTTTCAACATTCTTATGTTAACATTGAACTCCTTAAATGCTACTAATGAGTTCTGATTGCAATTGGCACTCCCTGTTACAGCCACTTCTTCATCCACATGTTAACTTATGACCACTTCAGCTGGCTTTTCAATACTGAAACCATGTCGTTTTTGAACTCCTTTAAAATATCTGTGTACACACTTACACTAACCAGGCTTTTTCTAGCTTTGTATTTAAATCTCCAATAGAATTGTGATACTGCAATTCAAGTTTATATTTGACATAAAAACTTCTCCTCTATAATGCCTTCTCTAATGCCTCTTAAACTTTATCATTTTAGTAAATAAGCTACTGTATCCAGCAAAAATGCCCCATCTGCTAACTATAAACTAGCACTTAGGGAAACCACCTACGAATCTGTACAGTTTTCTCACTAAACTATACAGGTATGATAAATACTTGCTTGTAACTTTGAGCCTTCGTGTTAAGGAAAATATTTTTGTTTCCCAAGAAAGGTACAATAGCATGCTGTCTCTTTATTTATTCCTTGTCACAACCTTTTTCTCATCTACAGCCCAGGAGTGTTCGCTGGATGATGACACCATTCTAATACCAATTATAGTTGGTGCTGCTCTTGCGGGCTTGATTGTCATTATAGTGATCGCTTACATAATTGGCAGAAGAAAAACCTATGCTGGATATCAAACCTTGTAAATCTGAATGTGATCACTGTTCCAGTTTCACTTTAATGAAGCAAGTGCAAGTTCCCAAATGCAAACAAACCACTTCAAGTAAACATTTGCATCATCTAATTAGGGCTGGAGACTGTGGGTGCTTTGTCTCTTTCGGTGTTTTGTCAGATAAAACAATGGGAATGTAACTCTACTTCCTGGACAAAGAAAAACATGGGGTTTCATAGCTGTACTCAAAGAGCAAATAAGCCTTATTTGGCAAATTCTTAGGTAAAGATATTACCTGCAAACAATTACTTGGGATTCATTATCTGCATGTTACAAATATTAATAGTCTGAAAAGGGAACAGTCTAAATTAGGGCACTATTATGATGCATTGGGCAACTTGTAAAATTGCATTAAACTTGTACTTGTCTCACCTGCATTCCTTAGTTACTGTCACAATTGCAGGGTAACCTGGCTGCCTTTAACTGTATATTAAACCTGGAATGCTTGCCAGGGACTTCAGAGTGCCTAGTATCTCTTTTCTGGCTCATAGTACTAAATGCCATACTAATGGTTTTTCAAACAACTTTACGTTGAAGTGACAGTAGTAACCCACTTAATTCCAACAAGAGCTGCAATAGCTCCCTCTTATTTTGGTAGCTTCAGTAGCCATTCTTATAGTTAAACCCATTCATTTAGATATGTAAACTTAAAACTTCAATTGGCATATCTGGAAGTTAAAGCCCAGTTTCTAAATGCTTTAGAGAACTGTTGTGCACAAATGAGCAGAAACCTAGTGCCTGTTACAACCTGGCATCCCTCTAGATACCAAAACAGACAGTTCTTCTAAAGTAGTACAGTATTCCTGCTGGCACCAGTTTTAAAAAGGGAATAAGAACCTTAAGTATTTCTAGAATTTAAAGGGCACTTAACTTTGTATCATACCTTGTACAGAAAGTCTGTCTTGCTCACTTCCTTTGAGTGATGTGTGTTAAAGAAGCTCTTGGTTTAATGATCCAAAATCAGTTGTCACAACTTCAGCTGTTTTTAAATCTCCATATTAAGTCATTCTTTGCTAATCAAAACTTGCATTGTAACTGTCCCATGATGGCATTTCATCTGCTGATTCATGTACTTTGTGCTTAATTGTGTGCTGTGCAGAGATGTAATATTGTGCATTTGTGTGTACGAGTTACTAATGCTGTGAAGAATGCAAAAGTAAAGCATAAGTCTGAGGCTGATACACTGCACCTTTCTCCTTGCTGTTTGGAGTAGGCCCTCTACTTAAAACAAAGTGTAATGCAATTGGACTGTTCCTTAAACTGTAGCTATATAGAGATTAACCCTCACTGTATATCTTTAAGTTTCTCTGGTCTCCTAATCATTGTGGTGTAATTTAGAGTGCACTGCATAAAAAAGGTGGCCTTTCCTGAAAGGAATGAGTTTTGTGTTATAATAGACAGGGATTGGTCCTATTAATGAACATAGGACAAACTGAGTTTAACAGGGAAAGTTGGTTCATTTTTCTTAAAATTTTGGCTTGGAATTGTCATGGTGATAGATGCTTATTAGGAGTATACAGAGCTGCTTGTTTCATGTTTGGTGTTACTCTCCAAAAACAATCGATAATACTAATTTGGTTCTCAGTAACAGATTTCATAGTGACTAATGTATATTTAGGACTCTGACTAAAAGTGCAAGAATGGTTGAATAACTCTTGTTGCAAGCAGAACTCAGGCCTTAGTTTAATATCAAAACCTCTTTAAAAAAAAAATAGAAATGTAAATGGAGGAACTAGCTTCAAACTTAAATTTTTAACTTGAGAATTTCTCCAAAAACATAAATTGTATTAAAATATCTTTAATTGCAACACTTCTTATAGAAAGTCTTTTTGTAGAACTCCAGTGATTGTTGGTGTTTACATGTGCCAGTTATGTACTTTTTAACTAGCATTTATCACAACTATTTTCTTTGTCCATCTGATGTCTTAAATCTCCCAGGTTTCTATATGCCAACTCTATTCCTGAATTTCAGACTAAACTCTCACCTTCTCTTTGAAGGTGTAGAAATGTTATTTAGGGCAAACCAGTGGATTTGTTCAAGAAATTGGCTCTGATGAAAATAATACCAGATCTGGTGTGCCGGTAACTGGCTCATGTAAACATCTAAGTTTCATGTGTCTGCTTAAACTGTTTAAACCACTAGTTCTCTGTATTGTATTTCTCCATAGGGACTTGCTTGTCAGTTTACTCTACATATTGCTTTAAACAATAAAGATTCTTCTATTTCTTAAGGAACCTTGGTAACTCTTTTAATTAAAGCAATGATTTCTTTAACTGTAGTGATGACTTAAAAATAGACTTCTTGATTAAAATTAATTCTTATTTTAGATCAGATTATCCAACCTAATCATAGGACCACCTTCCTTAATCTTCTCTTTTTGTTGCTTAGTTCTCTCTGCATCTTTCTGTAACATGCTAGGAGGGAGTGTCTGCTTATAGGCTGTAGTTTTTTCCTAACCACTAGTCTAGATATTAAATCACTTCCGTTAGAAGCTTGGCTATCCCACTTTAAACTTGTAGTGAACTGTAGAACACTTCCCTAACCAAGTATACTTACAAAATCTAATTTCACTAGTCCAACTTAAACTGATTGAAGTATTAGTTTTGGTTATAACTAAAGCAGCAAATAGGTCAGTGTCTCTTACAATTCTTCGCTTTGGGAGTGGCTTCTCTTTAGCAAGCCTAAATTTACCTGGGGTTAACATCAATCAGCAGAAGTGGAGAAGCTGTAGGGACTTTCCTTTGAAAATTTTTGCTTGGTAAGAGCTCTTCCTGTATGCTAGGATCCATCTAAGTCCTGCTCCTAGGAGAGGGGATAAGCTATCTGTTGCTGATTCTGCTAGTTCAGTCTCCAGCCTCCAATAAGATTGCAAAATTACATCTATCTGTTTCCTCACTGTTGGATACTCCAGGTGGTCTAGAAGTGGTGGCATGCAACACTCATATTGCATAAATCTGACCTTCAGAAATCCATAGAGCAGGCATAAAATTCATTCTGAACAGGGGAGACTTTTCTCTTAGTGTTTTTCTGTAGTTAATCAAAAGCACAATACTTGAGGTAAATGTGCTTTCTCTATTGCTTATGATTAGAATTGATCACCTGTGCTGCTTGTCCTAAGTCTCCATAAGAGCTTTTTGGCCAAACAGCTATATGTCCAACTCATGGGAAAATGCTGGGTATGCAGATGATGTACTCTGCACTGTAGAACCACAGTTTTGTCTCCTTACAGATTCAGCGCTTTAGCTAAGATGTCACACCATGCATGAATAATGATACTGTAGCATATGTCCCCTGTTTCAAGAGTAAATACTAAAATGAATCTTCATTTGCCTACCCCTGATGTACTAGCCTGATTTGGCAGAGGGACCACACATCTGGTATACACAGTTGTATTGGTGATAGTCTGACAAGGGAGGAGGATGAGTAAAATCAGATTCTCTTTTGACTCCTGGCTATTGGCTTGGGGTCAATCAATTAGTAAAATAATCTCACTGCCTTTCCTTTCAGGCTTCATTAGTCAAAGCCCATGCTGTGATTGAAGTCTCAAGGGTTTTTGACTTCAGTCTACAGTCCCAGCACATGTATCTTAAAAACTCAATCTGAGCTCAGTGGAGCTTTACACAACTTCTTCAAAACTAACTAGAAAGTTAGGTTCCTCCAAGAGACACTCAGCCTAAGTAAACTTAAATGGAGCTTAAGCATCCTCTGAAAATATCTTCAAGGATGAGACCCTGGTGGTAAAATTGCAAACTACTAAATTTGCATCTTGTAATGAACTTGCTCATCTTGCAGTGCTAAAACTTGGGTGACTGTATTTGTAGTCCTTAGCTTTTGTTGTTCCAAAGCATTTTACTCTTAAATAGCTTTAAGAAAGAAAAGTAGGTTATTCACATCTTTAACTGAACTACACTCAGATGCAAAGTAACAGTTTTCAACATCACTGCTTTCTTTCTATTTAACTGTGAAAGGTCCGCCCTAATATTCTGACCAGTGGTAAAAAGTCCAAGACTGGGTGTGTTGGAATAATATATTGTGTAATTTCATCATACACAAAATGGATTCCAGAAATTTCATGTTGCCCTTAAAAATGGGGAGGGGAAGCATTGCAATCATCTTTATTTATAAACAGGGTCTGGTTGAAGGAGAGCTCTAATACTGGATGGGAAGCTATGTAAACCGTTAGGGAGAGGTTGCAGGGTTTAACATTTCTATTCAATTGGCTTTCTTTTGAAACTTGCCCTCTTTCCATCTAGCTGAAGACTGCAGCCCAGATGTGGACAACTTCATTGTGCCCATAACAGTGGGAGCAGCTTTGGGAGGATTAGTTGCTCTAGTGCTTGTGGCTTATTTTGTAAGCCACAAGAAACACAGTAATGCTGGATATCAGCAATTTTAAATATGGGAAAGTGGGCGGGGGGGGGAGAAACTGTCTCCTTACATCTGAATGGTTTTGTCAAATAGTTTCTTGAAAATTAAATTTATTTAAGAAACAGTTAATTTTTAATTAGCATTACATCTGAACTTGACAACTCACGGAGTGATTTTAGTCTGGTCCTTGATCAGACTAAAGTTTGTTTCAATCTTCTGGATGTGGATGTGATGCTACCAAAAATACCAATTCAGTAATTCTATGATCTATATGTACACAGTGGCTGTATATGAATAAAGTTTTGTTCTTAATCTCTGTGAATGGCACTTAACCAGTACTAAGTTCGCTGTGGATGTCTTCAAGTATTAATGTATATAATCCTACCTTGCAGTTTATTTTATTACTATTGATAGTGCCTTATATACAGTTTGTCAAATATTAAAGCTGTTGTGTGAATGCCCCTATTAGAAAGGCTAAAACTGACTTTTGCGACTTAAAGATGCTCTGTAGGTGCAGTTCTCTGGATACACCTTTTTGAGTATGCAAGTATAACTTACATGTTCTGCACTTTGGGTCGTCTATTTTGTACAGCTGGTCTACAGAACAAAAATACTTGTAAGAATACTATAGTATTTGGAGCTACTAATTAATGGATCTTATGACTGTCTCCAATGTCAAAAACTCTTTTTCAAGAGAAAAGGGAAGAAGGTTCCAGCCCAACCCAAACTCTGTACAGCCTTAATCTGAACTCACATGGTCAGTCTGTATAGCTTCCAAACTCCTCCAAGAAAATATTCCCCCTTTCTGTCTGTGGAACAACAGACTTGCAGTGATAAGTAGTAGAATCTGTTATTAGTGTACAACTGTTTATATTTCAACTTGCAAACTTGGTAGCCACCAAGCGTTAGGTTCCACAACCATTCTTCTTCGATCTGAAAGGGACCTCTCTGACAGAATTAAGGAGATGCTAAAAGTAGCTTAACTACCATGTTCTCCCTGCTGTGCTAATGTAAACTTAAAATCTACTGGTGGTTAATGGGCACCTTTCATCAGTATTAAATTAACTCATTTTAGTATTAATGACTTTAGGATTCCTATGTGCTATTTAATATTCAAGTCCTCTTACCAGCCAAAACTGATTCAAAGTGACCAAGGTAAAGCTGTAAGTATTGTACCTCAATCTGAATGATAGAGTAATGATCACTCTCGTTAAAATAACTCTCACCATAAATTGTCCGTCCTTCCTCCCCTGCATTGCTGAACTGCACAGCAGCAGCCTCTGAATTGGAATGAATACTGCTGCAGGGCCAGACTTTGTGTTTGTATTTTGATTGGATTAAAAGGGAGGAAAATATACAGTTGTTATAAACCCAGGCTTTGTCCTAATGGATAACCTGGTAACCAGTTGCCACTTAATATAGCTGAGCTAAATTTGGCACAGTAACTAAAGCAGTGGTTCTCAATCTGTTTACCTCTGTGGGTTGCATATACAGCTCTCTGTGTTGTGGGCCACATTCACACAATACTACTTGCAGGGCCCTGAGGATGTCACTTGGGCTGCAGTTGTGTGCTGATTTGGCTGCACGTGGCCTCCAGGCCATGGAGTGAGAACCACTGCTCTAAAAAAAAGGCTAATTCAATTTGACTCACATTACTGGGCAGCGTCTTAAAGTAGTAGCTGCTACCTTTTGACAGAGTGCTACATCTGTACAAGACATGTCTTCTATTCAGGCAAAAAAGCAAGCAAAGTCCATTCTTCAGGAATCTCCCAAAGCTTTAACAAAGCCCTCCACTTCAAAATCTCACCACCGGGATTGGGGTGAACTAGATTAACATGTTTATAAAAGTTCTTTAACTCATACTACCTCTTGGGGGGTGGTCATCTAGTAACAGCCATTAGCTTGGGGCATTGGACATCTAATTACTTAGTGCAGCTCTGGAGATTGTTTTCAAAGCAAAGTCAAACCACTTTTTCCTTGCAGTAGTCCAGTAGGGTAAGTATTTCTCCCTACTTTACACATGTGGAAAGTGAAGCAGAGCTGTTACATAACTTGCCTGAGGCTTATAATTGGCGTCGGAGTCCCATGCTCTAAAAAAGCCCATACTGACTCTGAATTTAGCATTTGTGCCAGAGAAGAATTAAATAATGTATACTTCAAAACTGTGCAAACCCACTTTGTGGCATTACACTGAATGTTTTTTTACAATGCTGTGTTGATTTTAATAACTACACAATTCTTCTCTGAAAGCGATACCTCCATGACCTCTTTGTACTGACTGGATCAAAAAATAAAGCTATATGTACCAAAGGTGTGTCTTTCAGTGTTTTCAGCTACCCTGATATATCTTTGGTTGTCTTTTACAGACTTCTATACAGTGCTGCTTTCCATATTATCTATTTATGTTCTCCTTCTTTCTCATCCATTTCTGAAAATGCACAGTGGTGTTGGAGGGGATGAGATCAGTTTGGGGGAGGGGGGAGGTAATACATTTTGTCATTCTGGTGCTCTAATCCCGGTAAATGCTCTCAAATCCATATGGTGGTGATCAGCTAGTATGTCATTTCAAAGTTAATCCTTTGTCCTGGGTTATGGGTGACATCAGTGGGAGAGCCACAGGTGTGCAGGGAGCAGAACATCCAAAGTGTATGCTAATGTGAAGATCTGAAAAGAGATCTTTACCCTATGAGAGCCCTAGATGTAGCCAAATGTGATAGATTTCTTCATAAGCACTTCAAATGCACCTTCTGGCTATAGGCAACCCAGTGACTATTATCTAAATTGTCTAGAAGAGAAACAAAGAGCAACTGAATTATGCCTACCTGTACAGGGGGGTGAGGGGTGGATGAATAAGTGTTTAGACTGTAACTAAGGTCCTGATCCAGAGAGATGCTAAGCACTTGCAATTCCTATTGAAGAAATAAGTTCTGGGTCTTCTGTACCTATCAGGATCAGATTTAGAGGGAGGGGTCAGGTTTTTATTTAAAACAAAAAAAGTGCAAGTGTCTATTTCCTCCCTGCTTGATTGGTTTCTAATGCATGGTTTCCCTACTAATTTCCTCTCCCTCACTTTTTTCTCTTCTACAGCTGAAGAATGCTTTGCAGATTCTGACCTGAACTTTCTTATCCCCATCGCAGTGGGTGTGGCGCTTGGCTTCCTTATCATTCTTGTCTTTATCTCTTATGTCATTGGAAGACGGAAAAGTCGTACTGGCTATCAATCTGTATAATCTTTTCATGCTGTCTCTGCTGCTTTTTTCCCTTAAGGTTATTAGTTTATGGTTTTCTTTGACCTAGCTATATTAAAAAACAAAGGCTAATGTATTTGTGTATATGATTGTGAGAACAAATTTAGACTCACCTGAAGCTACTGTAAGGCTTTGGAGTAAAGTAAAACTGCTCCAGGAAACACTTAAGACGATGACCAATATTTGTCCCCTGGGCAATGTGATTATTTGACTGAAAAGGCCTAAGATAAGGATGCATCTTACTCGCAGCATTTTTAATCTCTATTCTTTTGCATAATATCACAGCTGGTGAGTGAATCTTCATTTTATATGCAGCTACTCAGTTTATTTCAGATGCTGAAGTTAAAAAAACACTGCTAGAGATTTGAATGCTGTGTACCGAAGGATTGTATATGCTGTTGGAAAGAAATGCAAAATCCTTCCTAGCATTCAATTAGAAGCAAACTTACCACTGCTGCCTTGTTTCTGTTTTTCATGTAGCTGCTTGTTCTCTGGGGTTAGCTTAAAGCTGCTTTTCCTGTTGCATCCAAAGTTGGTTCTTGATCCTACAATACGTCACCCAGAAGTTCCTTCTCTTAGTAACTAGTGTATTTAATATCAGTGTGGAAAAAATTATCTTTTTTTAAGGGTAAGAGGGGAGTGGATGAGACCTAGCATAACTTACCCAAGAATGGAAGAAGCTGACCTTAGAGAACAGAAAAAGCTTTTAAGGAAGCCTTGGGTATCCTGTGTTGCTTTTGTCCAAAGAGGACATTGTTAAGCATCTTCTGTTTGCTAACCAAAAGGTTCTTCTGCTCTCTGACTTTAATTGAGCCTATGTTTGAGCGAATGGGAAAACTTTGAGTTCACTGGGTCCAAGTTTTCATTCTGTCTGTGCAAGGGAAGGATAATCTAGACTTCTCCTCTTGTATTTCAATTGAAGGAACTGGCCTAACTTTACACCTCTCTTTAACTCCACAGAGGTGTGCTCTTACTCTATTTTCCAAAGTAGTCAGTATGCAAAAGGATGAGGTTATAGAAAACCACATTAAAAGAAAGTGACCCCACCAAAGAATGGGATGGTATGTTGGATCCAGTCAAACTCCTCCCCTATCATTAATATTGTCATACACTTTGAAGGCCTATGTTCCACGTTTGGGCCTTAGCAGGATGGAAGCTAGTTATTTTGGATTAAATTCTGCCATCCCTGAACGGGTACACTGGGACAGGAGCATCTTCCTCCTTGACCCCTTTTGATGCAGACCTGCAGAAGCTAGTCCTACTATTGTGCTCTCTTTTATGCTAGGCCATGTGACTAGCTGGGGTGCTAGTCTGTTCGCCGCCGGCAGTAGGGGGTGTGGGAATGTGTTCAGCACTCTTCTGCAGCATGTGTTTAGGATGTTCCTGAGCCACTGCAAGGGCAGACTGCTGCAGAGCACTCCACCTCATTTACAGATGGGAGCGAGATCATGATTTGGGCCTTCGTTTTACAGATTGTTTGGGTCTCGGAGCTGGATGAGGGTAACTGAGCTAATTAAGTCAAATCAGATGAGAAGCGGTCTTTCGTTTTTCAGTTTACTGGCTCACAAAATGTGTGTTCAGTCATTATGTGACACTAGGCTCATCCAAAGAGAAAACCCATGAAGTAAGCTGAGGTGTTCAGTCAATACGCTATAGGAGGATATGGCACGTGAGGGGCTGAATGTAAAGTAGAGCATGTAACAATTCACACTGAGTGGCGTTCTTTAGAAGCATAGTTGCCTTTAAAAAACAAAAGGTTGAGTAAAAGCACACACGGGGATTATCTCCAAGAGCTGTTCAAATACACTTTCATTTGAGTGACGTTGGGCATGGAAGATTGTACACTACTGACTTTCATTTTAAAGAAACACTGTTTAGACTCCTATCACAAAAATTGCTTTGGTCCTATTCTGACTACAGGATCAAACCTAAGCTGTAACTGCATCTTCTAATGGGATAAAAATAGGGTCCTACACAGATGTGATCCTTTCATGCTGGGGACTTAATTTAAGCCCAGTGGGTTGGGTTTTTGTTTCCCATTTTTTACTCTTGCTTTCCCAGAGTGGGGAAGTGCTAAATGGGCTACTCTGGGCCTAACACACATGCCCATCAAAGCGTGTCACCTCCACAATGACGTGAGGTGGGTTCTATTCCTGCTATGCTATTCTTCAGGCTCCAGATCTGAACTTCACACATAGCATCCTTTTAATCCAGCTGGGTGACTTTAATAATAAAATGCAGCAATTTCCTAATTTTTATTTTTTTAAGTGCTATTTTGGGCTTCATGAGAAGTCAAAATCAAGCAAGCACTTTAAAGTTATTGTAGAATGAAGAGTGATATAAACATGGTTCTCTGAATTTGCAAAAGACTGTACAAATGTGCTGATGAAGACAGAGTATCTATATTAAACAAAGTTAACTATGAAGTTTGTCTAGTTTTGCTCAGTGTTAATACTCTTGATAGAGATGAATGCGACTTTTAAGAGCTTTATCTAAGGGGCTGGTGTGGCTTGAGTTTCAGTGGTGGTGAAAACTCAATCACTTCTTGCTCTCTTTCACCCCATGCTCCTTTCAGGCCAGGACTGAGGCAGAGACCAGGTGGGCGGCATTTGTGCTGCCATTGGTTGCATGTTCCACAGTCTGTGGATAACCAAATTTAAGAGGAGTGAGAGTTATTAAAACTCTGAGCAGGAGGGATGGTAACAACATGTAAATGCTTTTTTCATAATGGCAAACACTAGAAGTTATAGACAGCATGCTGTTATATTTTTAATATAAAGAAGAAAAGGACTTTAGCATGTGATTATGGATGAAAAGAGACTTCTGTGTATGTGCTCTCTATGGCCCTGGCACTTCAAACTTCTGAGCCCTTCAATTCCTATTGAAGTTAATCAGCAGGGCTCTCCACTTGGCAGGAGTGAGCCCTAGACATGAGTCCAGTCTTTTTAGCTTACCAGCAAAACGTGCAGCAATTATAAAATGTGTTCACATGTCAACACAATTGCCAATAAAATTCTGATGGCTGAATCTTAAGCCTGGGATGTACAGAGAACACAGCTTCATCTTCAAATACTGGGGGAAGTTTCTAATATTCTTGCCTTGAAAAGTCTTGTCCTGACCTGTCAACTACCCTAAATTGATGTGGGTTATTGACAGATGCCTCACTAAATGTAAGTGATTGAAGTAATTCTGCATATTTAGAGGATGGCAGAGAGGCCACCATTTTCACATGTAAGTACTAAAGCTAGGTATCTATATGGATAAATATTTAGACATGTAAGTTCCTTGACTTTTAGAGGTGCTGAGCACCCATAACTCCAGTTGATGTCTTCGGAGTTGTGGGTGCGCATATTTAGATGTCCGAATGTGGATTTAAGTGTTTAAACCCCCAGGTTTGAAAACTTTGGTCAAAGTTAGTATCACCCGATGGTCTGTCTTCTGCCTGGAAAACTAATGAAATTACACCTCGGGTGATTTTGTCCCATTATAATTAAATCCCACTCTCTGCCCACAAGAGATTTATTGTGTTTAAAAAAAAAAAAATAGGGGTGAGAGCCCAGTTATAAAGCTCAAAACTCAGTAACTGGAGTCAACTAGCCTGGTTTAGGATATAGATATTTAGTCCTGTTTGCAAAGGCCTCTACTTTAAGAATCTAGGTGCATTTTTATTACTTAGCTAGTTATAAAGGTATAAAAGAGAGAAATAAAATTACTGTCTGTTTGTGTAAGGGCCTTTTTTTACTGTGACAGTTTGAGGCCCTGTTCTTAGGCTAAGCCTTTGGCTAAGCACTAGAGGCCAGCCATAAACTGGGAGGTGTATGGTCACATTCTTACATTCCCAACTAGTCACATTGAAATAAGGTGCTATTGGGCTGTTAAAAATACAATCCTGTTCTGATATTCCTATCACCTCCAGAGAAAGGGAAGATTTAGGGGAGGGGTGGGGAGGAGAATAGGAACAGGAAATGGGGGTGGGGAAATTGAAATCATGTTTCGCTGGGGGCAGGGGGGAATAGAAACAGGAAATAAAAACAGACCCAGGCAAGGCTCTATGATATCAAAGCTGAAAAGGGAAACACTAAGAAAAAAAACTAAAATCATGCTTGCTAAAAGTTCACCCCAATAAACATCAAATTGTTTGCCTTGTCAAACTTCAGGTATTATTGCTCTCTGTTCATGCAAAAAGAACCAGGAAAGTAAAAGGATAAAAAAATAAGCCCCCCAACAAGTCTGCTCCAGGTACCGCCTCAAGCCTGTAAAGTCTGGACCTAAGAAAATGGGCTGAGTGATTCCATTCATCACACATACCATAGACTGTACACATTTTTTAAAAAAATCATTCCTAAATGGGGGCCAGTGAAATGGAGACAGTGCAAACTCATTCAATAATATGTTGTATTGCTGTAACAAGGGTGGCCTGTACTGTACAGGTGGCTGTAGTGAAGGCCATGCCCTGTTCCCAGGGTGGGTACTCCAACCACACTGACAGGTGGATGGCTATAAAGTATATTAAATTAAGACTAATGGTTGAAAAAGGAGGGATGGGTAAATTGTCACAGCAACAGATGCTGGCAATAATCAAGCTCCAATTGCTGGTGTGAGAAGGTGATCGGAATGAGCAAAGAAATATTTCCTCACGTGCATAGAGCATACACCACCTGCTCGTAGCCAAGTAAGAAGCCCAGACATCCAGTCCTTAAGCTTCTGTGCAGGAGATGGGGAAGAGGAAGTACTTAACCCCATATTGCAGTGATTCTTCTGGCCAATCTAGGAACCCAATGACTTCCACGTAGCCTGTAGGAGCTGTTGTGCTGGCTTGCAGAACGATTCCCAGCTAGTCTCCAGGAACAGCACTCATGCAGCCCAGGAAGAGCCCATTCAGCCCTCTTCACCTGCAGTGAAGGCTTCAAATCCATGTGAAATCTTCCTGTGAGGACAGCGGGGGGTAAGTGATGGGATCCTCTGGGCCGGGTGTAATGTCACAAAGGTTCTTTTAAGACTCTCTGTCTCAAAGTGACCACGTTTCTCAAACTTGGAAACTCTGAGCTAAGAATGTACCCAGCTTCTGCAAGAGCGCTACCAAACTTGGACTCCGTTTCTAGAGCATCACAGGCAGAGAGGGAAACATTGGGCATTGCTGCCTATGCAGTCCCATATTACCTGAGCCAAAATCTCTCTTTCTCATCATGCTGAAACAGAAGTGGGAGAGGAGCCAGATCTGTAAGTCACTCTGTAATACATCAGTACATATCCTAGGAATACTGAGGGGGAGAGAATCCCAGTGGTAAATTCCTCTGTCATGTATGCCACAGATTTACCAGAAGAAAGAGCCCCAATGAGTAAAACAGGGTGAGAACTAAGGGAGGAAGGCTGTTAGCCCACTTAAGGTTAACAGGGTTGCACAGGTGTCATTATGAGCATGATCTGAAGACAATAGGGTTACACAGGTGTGCAAAATGGAAAGACTCAGCTGAAGGGTCAGAGTTCAATGTGAATTTGCAGGAGTGTCAGACAAAAATACCCATTTCTCTTTTATCTTGCAAACAGAAATCAGTGAATGAATTGGAATCCCTCCCCCCCACCCCACCCCCCACACACATCATTTTTACAGTAACTGTATAGGGCCGAACTTTCTTTTAAAAATACCAGTAGCGGGGCGCAGCATTCATGATAAGCCCTGCACTAACAAACCAAAGGTCGTAGCCCAGCACTCTTGATCAATCCTAAAGTAACAAAGCAACATTGACAGTCGTGTACTCCCAAGCAACCCCATATAAACAAACTGCCTAGCCCAGCACTCTTGCAATGATAAATCAGGGGGTGCAAGCACAACAAAAGAAACATTTCAATTTCAACTTCCGTGAGGTTGATCTAAACAGCTGTGGGTGAAACGAATTATTGTGAGAATTCTGAATGCTGAAGTGATAGTGCCTGGTTAACCAACTGGCCAGTCACACAAAAATCCCACACAGCACATTAAGAATGAGATCACACTGTTAATTTCACCCATAAAGAGAAATGGCTACATGTTCTCTCACAACTCTCTGGCTTTTAAGGACATTATCACTGTGATCTTTTGGGCACTGAGGGATGAAGGATTTGAAAAGTTTGGGGGCAGTGAGCTGTACTCTGCATGGCTATACAGAGAGCTTCAGTTCCCAGCTCTGGGCTGGGTGGAAGGAGACCCTTGTTTCCTAGCAATCTCTTCCTGCCAGTCTGACATGCTGGGGGTCTAAGAGAGAGAAGCTCCTGTCAGTCTGGTGGATTCAAAGAGCCATGCGGAGAGAGGGGAAGGAGTGTATTAAAGAGGGGAGGGGGGAATGTGTTTATCCTCAGCTCAAAGGTGGAGGGAACAGTCCTAAAGATTCATAAATGACAATTATTCCTTATTATGGCTTCCTCTTTCCAATTGCAGCCAGTATCTTACATGTATCAAGACATGGTTGAAGCTACCACTGCAAATGCTGCTGTGCTGAGTTGGGCTGATGTCCCCAGCCACAGTGTCAGGGCTCCTGGGTTCCAGGAATTCTGAGATGGGCCATTTTACTTTATTTTTATTGGTTTTACACATGTAACCCAAAAGACTGTGGGAGTCCCCTACACTACTGAGTCATGTCGTTTCTACCTGGGAAATGTACTTAAAAATATGATAAAAAGTAAAATATAGGGTCAGGAATGTTTCTTTTGAAGTGATCCTATGAAAATCGTATTAAAATGTCCTGTAAGTATTTAAAATCAATATTGAAATGTTTGACCAGGGCCCTCTACCTGTAGTTACAAGACTGGATCTATACTGCCAATAAGATTTGTTAGGCATTTACATTTTAAAAATGTAGCTCCTCAGTCTATATTACATGGCGGTTGTTTCTAGCTATATATATAAAAAATCCAATAAAGACATGTCTCAGTTGCATCGGAAACCATGTGTCTGTTTCCCTAACAGAAGCGGTGCTCTATTCTGACGTTATGTTTAAAAGGTGGAGTGGAAAAAGCACCTGATTGCCACAAAGAGTTAAAAAAAAGTGCTTGGTGAATGTTTGCGTGGGCTACATTCTGATGTTGAGTGTAAAGGTGATTCGGCCCAGGAAACGATCATTAGTCACATCATTCACAATTCCTTCCCCATTCAGCCTGCACTGAATGGGGACAAAATCATTCTTCTTCACATCTGTGAAGTGCAGAGCCACCAGGGGGGAGGTGTAGTTGACCTGAAAAAGAGAGACACTGGATAAGCACAACAGTTGAGAGGGTAGGAAAAACATCAAATACTCTGTGCCACAGCCAGTGGAATAGTGTTCAGAAAAACGGGCCTGATCCTGCGGTGGTGTCAATTGGACTCCACAAGGACCAGGGAAGCTAAGCTGATTTGCACCAGACTGAGGATCTGACCCAGTCTGTTTGAAAATGATGGGGACACATTTGAGTTCTCTAATATATTCCTCGCGCGTTGATTTGTTACTATTGAAGCCAGAAGCCGTGATAAGTAGGGGAGGCTAACGAGATTATAAAATACTCTCTGCCGCTTTAAACTGTTGCTCCTTTGTCTACAATAATAATAAAGAAAGAATAGTCCTGCTCCTTGCGATCGGTGTGCCCAATGTACGTGCTCCTGAGAAACCAAGGGTCGGGGCATTCAGCTCACGTTTCACAAGGGAGCTGTTATTTGCCCTCACATACATTACATCTGTTTTGACAATGGGAATTTTATTGCCCCCACATCTCAGTCTGAACTCTTATTTTGAATGTGTTCTGCTCACCTAAACCACCCTGTGCCCAATCCTGAAAATAGAATCATAGACGTGTAGGACTGGAAGGGACCTCACTAGGTCATCTAGTACAGTCCCCTGCACTCAAGGCAAGACTAAGTAATAACTAGCCCATTTCTATCAGGGCTTTGTCTAACCTATTCTTAAAAACCTCCAATGACAGAGATTCCACAACCTCTTTTGGCAATTTGTTCCAGTGCTTTCCTGACAGGAATTTTTTCCTAATGTCCAACCTAAACCTCCCTTGCAGCAATTTAAGCCCATTGCTTCTTTTCCTATCCTCAGAGGTTAAGGAGAATATTTTTTTCACCCCCCCTCCTTGTAACCACCTTTTATGTACTTGAAAATTATCATGTCCCCTCTCAGTCTTCTCTTCTCCAGACTAAACAAACCCAATTTTTTCAATCTTTCCTCATAGGTCATGTTTTCTAGACCTTTAATCATTTTAGTTGCTCTGGACTTTCTCCAATTTGTTCACATCTTTCCTGAAATGTGGTGCCCAGAACGGGACACAGTACTCCAGATGTAAATAGGCCCATTACAAACTAGGGTCGACCTTTTCAAAAGTGGTCACTGATTTGGGGTAGCTCAGTGTTTGTCTGCCCAACTTGAGCATGTTGGTCCCCACTAAGAAACAGGCCCTACACATTCCAAGTTGGGCGTCCTAAAGCCAAGCCACCCCAAATCAGTGACACTTTGGAAAATGTCAGTCTATGGCACTACTGCTGTCAGCACACTGAACATGACTGAGCCCCTGATAAATATTATCATGCCCATTTTACAGATGGGGAAACTGAGGCACACAAGGCGCTCACACAGCGAGTCAGTGTCCGAGCCAGAAATACAACACAGGAGTCCTAACTGCCAGCCCCCAATGACTACTAGTTCACAGTGCCTCCCTGCTGGGTTGTGCTTTCCAAACAGGCGCACTTTGCAAACAACTACCCCGTCCCTCTCTTTCTCCGAGGAGGGATTAAAGAGAAGCCAATAGAGCATTAGCCACCGAGTTTCTACTTACGTGAGTGAGTTTGCCATAGTAGGGATAGTACATGAGATCAAATGTTCCATTGCCTGGATAGAAGTCCACTGATTTAAGAGCACTTTCATTGCCTTTCTGTGATTAAAAATAGGCAGGTGTGTAGTCAGGCAGTACAGTACAGCTCCCCTCAGATCAACAACACAATGGGGCTGTGGCGGGTACCTCTGGAGAGCCCCAGCACAAAGGGACTAGGTATTTTGTCACCTCTTTATACAGAACACGTTTACTAATAGAACCAGCTGCTGCTGGAATACGTCAGAGAACAAGTGCACCATAACCAGCAAGACAAAGGTCATGTTTGCCTCCTATAAATCAGTCTCCATGCTTCACTGCCTCCTCATTACTAGCTAAGGGCCTGGTCTAACTCCATCTGAAGCCAGTGATAGTCTTGCCCAGGCCCTGGGTGCTGGGGCATGGACAGAGCGGGGGCAGTCTCAGTCCCTCTCTGTCTACGGACCTGCTCCTAGGAGGGGCGGAGCCAAGCACCCTCTGCTACTGGCGTCACTGGACGCTGGAAGGGCTCAGCATTCCCCAAGAGGTGTTTGGCAGCTCACACAGGATCAGGCCCCAAAGGGAGAGGCGCAGGATAATTCTTAGCACTGTCCACCTTCACAGAGCTTTACAAACCTGCAGCCCTCACTCAGTCAGTGGGCCCTACAATGTTCTCAACGCCAGGGCTGGTGAAACATTTTGGGCCAAAGTCATCCCAGGTGTAACTCCATTGCAATTCATCACCAACAGGGAGAGGGGGAAGGGGGTAAGGCCCTTTCTGCAAATAACACTGGAGACACATGAAAGAATTACCTGAACGGCACAGTTCACGCTCACAGGTGTCCCATAGCCAGGTCGATAGCCTATGATCTACGAAAAGAAAAGCCATTCATGCTTCTATGAGATGCGAAGCCTGGCCTGTGATACCCATCCAATATCACCTGCCCACTCCAGAGGTTTCGCTCTCTCCATCTTAAGCTTATTTATCTGATCATATTGCATATGAATTCAAGTTATCTTGGAGGCACTTTCTGCCATCAGCAAATTATGTCATTCACTTCAAAGGGGGTGCACATGCCCACTTGTGAGTCCCCAGAACTCAGGAATGGAGAAGGCCAAAGGACTCTCTGCCCCTTCAAATTGAGGCTATACAATGAAATCTGCATGTAGGGCTCCCACCCCCAAAAGACATCACTTTAAACATTTCTGAAAGTTTTCCAGTATGATGATCACCCTTTTAAAAAAAGAGCCAGATCTGCTAGGCAACCAATTTTTGCTGTTTCCTCAAATGGCTGCTTGACCCCTGCTTGATAGACAAATAGAAGCATATGTATTGAAAATTACTACACTGATCACAATCAAAAGGCCAACCCCTAGTTCTTCAAGAGCTTTTCCAAGCAGCTGAGGAATTATCTCTACATTTATTTTGCCAGCAACAAACCCTTTGATTCTATGATATTTGAAGATTTCAGATTATGCATTGTTCTTTAAAAATGCACAATTATAAAGAGAGCAGCATATGGGACATGACCTCAGAAAATAACTTAATACCAGGAAAGAAATCCCAGCAAAGAATTAATTTCCTGTTGCCTATTTCTTGACCAAATCAAGTTACAGGGGGCTTTGCAAATTTTCTTTGATGGATTGTCTCCGCCTGGGAATGGTGCTGCTGTTTTCCACCTGATATGGGGAGCTGATTTTACTGGCTCAGAGAATTAACCTAGTTTCAAACCCAGCGTAATAATTAATTTATAGTACTACCCAAGGAGGGAATTAAAATGACTGGCTTTTTCGGTACCCGATTCATCTTCAGCAAGATGCATGGCTGGCCTGTAGAGTAGCCAAACGTGGGATCCTCAATCCCAGAACAGTTCTGCAGTTGTGATCGCTTGAACTGGCAGGCTTTCTTCTCTTCGCTTTCCGCGCCATCTTGAACAAAGTATTGGCCTGCTGGGCACTCAATGTTCTTTTCCTCTTGAACGTTGTCATCATAAGCTAAGGTGAACCAAGAGCTGCTTGGTTAATGACTTTTCGCACTATCACAATCTATCCAAACATCAAGGCTGCAATTGTCAAAGGCACCAGAGGGAGTGGAAAATCCCTTCCCAAAAGACAAGATTTAATACTCGGTTCAGCAGAGCACAACCCTTGCTTTAGTGGTGGGGAAACTGAGGCACCAAGTGATGGGCTCTCGTGTCAAGATTATACATTTGGGACTTGATCTGTAAAGACTTATGCGTGTGCTTAACTTCAGTCCTGTTCACTTCAGTGGGACCTCTACTCGTGGCACCTAAAGCTAAGTACATGCAGAAATCTTCATAGGATTGGGACCTTAGTCAATGGCAGGGCTGGAAATAGAGCCTAGACATTCACTCCTCTCCCGTTTACATTCCAGCCCCTCCCAATGGGAGTTTTGTACGAGGAGCACCTGCGGAAACAGCCCTTCGCTTCTTCAGCCTGAAAAATGGATGAATGGCTGTGGAAGTAGGAACATGGGTTTTTATGACTTGGCTTGGCTTCACCTTTTCTTCAGACTACATTCCTATTTATTGCAATGGCAACTGAAAGCAAAGGGGTTGGACTTGCTGCTCTGCAGTCTACTAAGGAGCAGAGTCAAGCCCTTCCAAACGGTGGGCTTGTGATGCTGGCAAGCCTTTCCCTGGCCTATTCTCCCATCCTTCTGGGGGTCCCACATGGTTTGTTTCTGTGCAGTTTGTTTTGTCAATGGGGGGCCATCTGCAGGGAGATGAGGCCTGTGCGTTGTCAGCAGGATGCCCAGGCAGGAGCGAAAAGCAGCACTGAAAACTTGGAAGTGAAAGAAAAACCCGGGCGCGAGAGGAGTGAACGCCCAGGTTCATTTCACGCCGAGGAAGCTGCCAAAGTGAATTGCAGGATGTTGCAGGAGAAATCATTAGAGAGGGGCATGCCCTCCCCACCCCATTTCCTATTCAGCCCTGCCCAGACTTGGACATGCTCATTGTCATCTCCTAGAGCCTCTATAACATCAGCTCTTTTGCAAATGTCACTGAGCTATCGACACCAGTTTAGCTTACATGATGTAGGGGTGGGCACCACCTCGTTCATGTTGCCCAGTGCCTGGAGGGCTTTTTACTGTTTAGAGAAGGTAACATAAAAGCTACTAGAACAAAGTTATATATAGACCGTGCTTTTTATAAAGCTCCAACCAGTTTACCTTGTAGGAAGTGATGCATGCTGTTCACATAAGGTGTCCATGTGCTGGGTTCGGAGACATTGAAGGCGATGGTAAATCCATGTAAGTATGGTCTAATCATTACTCCTGGTAAATAAAAAAGGCCCTTGTTGTATTAACCAGTCATGGAGATTCTGTTGGCTCAGGTATGTATGTCCAAGGGGTTAATTTGGGTAATGCAGATCAATATTTATTATTTAACATTGCATTATTTCATTATTTATTTATAAGGCTTCGTTTTAGTCACGGGTCTTTTTTGTGAAAGTCACAGACAGGTCACGGGCAGTAAACAAAAATTCACGGCCCGTGACCTGTCCAGGACTTTTACTATATACCCCCGACTAAAACTTGGGAGGTGGGGGGCTCGGGAGGGCGGCCCTGGGGGCGCCACAGGTGCTGGGGGGGACGGCCTGGGGGAGGTGCCACAGGTCCTGGGGGGGTGCGGCCCAGGGGGGTCACCCCCAGTGCTTGTGGGGGGAGACGTGGCCCGGGGGGGTGCCACAGGTGGTTGAGGAGGGTTGGGGGGGCTGGGGCAGGCTCCCTGTCCTACCCGACTCCTGGGAAGTAGCGACCCCAGCTCCACGTGCTGCCTCTGCCCCAAGCCCCGGTTCTCCAGCTCCCATTGGCTGGGAACTGCGGCTAATGGGAGCTGCGGGGGCGGTGCCTGCGGACGGAGGCAGCACATGGAGCTAGGAGATGAGGGAGGGGAGCTGCTGTCACCCCTCCGGGGAGCCCCCTCCAGGTAAGCACCACCCCACACCCCAACCTCTAGCCCTGTGCCCCCCCACACCCAAACTCCTGCTTCTGGGACGTGGGGGAGCCTGAGACTGCCCCAACTAGCAGGCAGTGCGCCTGGCCCAGGGGCTTGCCCGAGCTGCTCAGTGGCCCCCGGGCCAGATGCACCAGCCACTGCAGAAGTCACAGAGGTCACGGAAAGTCACAGAATCTGTGACAAACATGGAGCCATATTTATTAAGCATTTATATTGTGGTAGCACCTAAGGGCCTGTGATGGGGCATCTGCCCAATACTGGCCCATAAGGGGTTAATAGAGCCCTAGGTAGGCTGCGCAGGAGGCAGCCAATTAGAGAGGGCCCTAGGGAGGCTGCAAGGAGCAGCCAATCAGGGCCGGGCAGGCCCATATAAGAAGGGCTGCAGGGCAGAGCAGTTCTAGTTGCTCCCTGGAGCTCCAGGAGGGAAAACTGGCTGCCTTGCAGAAGAAAACTAGCACACTGGACAAAGAAGTGCTGCTAGCAGCATCCAGGGGGAGCTAAAGATGGCTCCTGGTCAGCTGCAGGGATTCGGAGGCTGAGGGCCTGAGGTAAGGGTCAGGGGCGTAGCCAGGTGGAGGGAACAGGGGGAGCAGAAAATAAAAAGGCACCACCCACTGCGGCGCTTTTACTGACGGGGCGGCGCTCTGGGTCTTCAGCGGCGGGACCTTCACTGAGGGTGAAGAGGGTGCTGGGAGCTGCAGGGAAGTGGCCCAGGGAAATGAATTAAGGAGTCAGTGGGGACACAGCAGTGGGGACACACATCTACTGAGTCCTTGGCTGGGACCCGGTGTAGTGGGCGAGCCCAGGTCCCCCCCCCACTCCTTGCCACTGAGGAAATAGCCAGACAATTGGCTGCAGTTGCCACTGAGGGAAGTGGCTGGACAGAGGACTGCAGTTCCCCCAGAAGGAGGAGAACAGAGCATGACACGGCTGGAGGGCTGTGTCATGAAGAGGATGCTGCGGTCTTGGGAGTGACATGGGCCTTGGAGCAGAAGTGATGTCAGTGAGATACCACCAGAACAGGGCGCACTGGCTAGAAGAGCTAATCCCCGGGACAGCCAGCAGGAGGCGCTGCAGTGGTCAGTGAACCCCGTCACAGGGCCACAACCAGGTTCTGTCCTGTTGTGTTAGGTGCTGTAGATAGGGTTACCATCCGTCCGTATTTCCCCGGACATGTCCGG